GCGAGGAGCGTTGGGCCAGAGGAGGGACAGGGAACCGGCTTTTGCTGTGGAGGGGAGGACCACGCACATCTCGAGAAGAGGCCCATAGAGAAATCCTACGACGCATCAAGTTCAGCGCAACGAGCTCTGAATTGCTCAGCATTTCTTCCCTCCGGCTCTGCATTTCCCTGCGAGTATCTCCCTCGTCCGGGGCTCGTGCCCAAAACCCGGCGACTCCTTGCCAGCCCAAAGTGCCGCAAAGGCGACAGCAGCACCCGGCGAAGGGCACGAGGGCAGAGAGATGCTGCGGTGGGGCGTTTTAAGGAAGGGTGGAACTGGGTTTCTGGGTTTCTCCACTTTCTCTGCCCTGCACTGCTGCCATCAGGTCTGGCCTGGTGTCGCAGCCAGCGGGGCGCCCAGGGTGGTCCTGCTGCTCCTCAAAACCACACGCGGTACACCACCGAGTAGGATTCGTAATGATAAATTCACCCCACGCTGGGGTTTAATAGCTGGGGTGAACTTTCCCAGGCAATCGGTGTTTTATAGGGACCATTCTGGCTGGAAACATTTATTAACATTATCTTTTTATGTGGCACTTCGTAAGAAAATGGGACTCCTGCCACCAGCAGCTTCGGGCTGATGTGAATCATGGGCATGGGACAAGCAGCAGCAGAGGATGAATTTTTGTCCTCCAGCTTTGGGTGACTCAATGAAAATTGAGTAACAGCCCATCAATACAACTATTGGCATAAAATAATTATTGAAGATCATTTTAATTGGCGGTGCGATGCACTGATGCTGCCATGCATCCCTTACCCTTCGCACATCTGTGCAACGCGTGTCCCTGGGAGTAGTAGGGGGAAGGTGGTCAAACCCAGAAATAACTAACTAAATATTCCTCATTTCTTGTTATAACAAGAAATATAAAGAGGGGCAGGGATGGGGGCAGACCCTGGCTGTAGTTTTGCATAACATTTTTGCCTTTTCGGAGGCCAGCTGCAAGGGGAAGGCAACTCCTTGTTACGCCAAACAGCATCTGGGTGTCACAGCTGGCCAGGCAGCAGAGATGAACATGGAGTGAGAAAACCAGACCCTCGAAGGGCTGCGGGAGGGCTGCTAAGAGAGAACAGCAATGCCTCTAAGAGTTTTTACTCTCTACTTTTTATTTAAAAAAAAAAAAAAAAAAAAAAAAAGAAAAAACGTAGTTTGCTGAGGGTTTGTTCCAGGTTCTCTCCCGTTACCCCAGTAGAGACAAGAGATGATGTTGCTGCAGTATGCGTCCCCTGAGACTTACCTAATCAGGCCCCAAAGAGACCCACTGGCATTAGAACTGGAAAATAATAAACACCCAACCAAGCAAAACCCAAACCCCCTAAAACAAAAAAACCCCAGGATCAGGAGTAGTCATATGTTAAATGAACTTTTGAGGATCTGTATTCTCACTGCAGGAATGGATTTGAAGAAAAAAGAAAACACCCAAGTCATAGACTAATAGAGGTTGAAATAGTCAATGAGATGAGGTTGCTGAGCACCTTTCCAGCCTGCTTTCAGATTTACACCACAAGGGCCTTGTTCTGGTTCTGTACGATCCCTCTGTTGGGCCATTACCCCTCATTTCAGGACTCCCTGCGTTGCTTCCGCCCGTGACCGCGCAGCTCCACACCCTCCTGGCAGGGACCTCACTGCTTCGTCGCCGGCTGCTTCCTCGCCCTGCCACTGTCAGATGCGGAACGGAAATTAGTGTCAGGTTAGCACAGCCAGACCAGAATATTTACATTTTATTAAATCTTTACAATCAGCAGTTATAATCAAGTACACAATTATGTACACAGATTATATACATTTTAGCCCAGACTTTTACATCACAGTACATAGTTGCCCTTAGAAATATTGTATACACTTATCACCAGAGTAAAACCCAACAATAGTGTTACAGCACCTGTTTTTAGACATCTTTCATAAGAAAATATACGGCTGTAAATTGGGCTGGCTAAAAAAAAAATCTTATAAAATCTGAACATACAATATTTCATTCACAGAATGGGTTTGTGTTTTTCTATGTTCTGACTGATGCCTTTTGCATAAGATGTCCCGTTTTTAACCTCTCACATACACTTATCCGTGCCTAACGCTACACCCTCAGGTATGCCGGCAGGAAGAGGAGAACCAAAGCTGGGCTCGTTTTGAAACTTCATTAAGAAACAATAAATGTAAACAACTGAGAAGATTCCTCTAAGATCAAATGAGAAATTAATTGGCTGATCTGAATTACATGGCATGGAGTAAGTGCTAGTTCCAGCTGTGATTCCTGAATTCTTCAGTGTTCAATACCATACAAGTAAATGTACAATACCACGCAAAGAAAGAGGCGATTACTGATTTGTGATGTACGAGCAATATTCCACACAGAGGGAGCAGACTTCTAAAAGTTCGGGAAGAAGCCTTACTCCCCTCTCCAAAAGGGTTTGGGTTTTCTGAATACATTCTTTTTGCCTTTTAAGATGACAGTGACAGAAAACTGAATTCTTTTCAGAAGGATATGAAAAGGTTCAACTAAAGCCTGTTTCCACATAAGGAAATACAAAGTGAAAATAACCTGAATAAAACTGCCCCTCTCCCAATTCAGTCCTCTTTCCCAAAAGGTCAACCTTACCCCATTCCATTCTGTAAACACCACTATGGCTCTCATGATGGTTTCAAAGGTAAAGCAAAACAAACTGAAACAAAAAAAAAACCCAACCCAAAAGGAAGGAGGCAAGAGTTATCTGAGGTAGGCCACCACCAAAACGATGCTTCAAATCCATACGGAGTTGTGGGATCGTTCCAAAATCCCTTAAAAGGACAGCTAACGTCTCTGCTTTAACAATAAATTTGGAAAAAGCAGTTACATAAAAATGAGCTGGTGGTGGCAAGGAAAGTTAATCTTTTAATAAAATTTTACATCTACACCTAAATTTTCTGGAAGTAAAAAAAAAAAAAAAAGAAAACTTTTAGTTGCTGTATTGACAGTCTTAACATAATGACCAGAGGGCCTCTATAGCTAGAAAAATAATTCTATTTCCACCAAAAAAGCTAACGAGTATGAAGATGTCGTCCATGGCGAAGAGCACGGGAACAAAAATGCTCCTTTTGTGGCACAAAGCACTGACAGACCAAAGGAATTACCAGAGTGAAGACTTTTGATCTGCACCTGACGGTTTTGATCCTGCAGCTGACTTGCGCCTGGCCACGTCGCTTCGAGCCCGGGCGCTACCAGGGGAGCGCAGCGTCCCTCGGGTGCAGCCAGGGCTCCAAGGAACGAAGGACACTTAACAGTCTCCCATGATCAAATTCCTTACATGAAGAAACTCACGTAACAAAAAAACATAAGTAAAGAGTAAGTTCTCAACTGAAAAACCCCAGCTACTTCAAGCCCTACTCATTCAGTCCAAACCTCCAGACAGTTATTTGTGCAAAGGAATTAGAACTATGTTTAAAAGCTAATTTATTTGAAAGGACACTTATTCACTATTCCACTACCGCTTCATTCCCTCCTCGGAATGACCTCCTACTCTAGTGATTTAAAGTTCTCATTCAGTTTATGGATAATCTTCTGATTGACTGTCATGCTCTCAAAAGGTGCCTGTGCATTTTGAAACTCTTGAAAGCAAGTGGCATTAAGCATACATGTATACAACATTTGCCTGGGATTTCTCCATTCATACTGTACAGGAGTATACATAAATAAATACAGTATGGCTGTACTAATCAACAGTTGCATATTCAGCACGCATAATTTCACCAGCTAAATGAAAGGTGCAATTCAGATCGGGGCTTTTTTTTGTTGTTGGTTTTTTTCTTTTCCATTGTAAAGGTGAAGATAAACCTTCATTTTTAGCCTGGTGCAGCATATAGGCAGTGTTAATCTATTCTTTAATATAAAACAATTCTTTGAACCACAATTCACTAAAAGCAGTTTACATAAATCAAGTTAATTAGTTTTTGGCAGTTTCTTTGGACACAGTCAAAACGTCTCTCGGTTGGTTAAACATCCCCATTTTTATTTAAATAATGTTTTTTGTAATAGGGATAACAAATTAGGACTCCCACTTACCTGTAACAAACTCCCAAAGCCCAGAGTAACATACCTCTCATCCTCGCAGTTCACGCCACTATACTTTGAACTATGGACCCAACAGCCAAAATTGTTGCGCTTCACTACTGGCCTCATTGCCTTAAGTATCACACGTATAGAAGTTGCATATAAAAAGAATGACAACAAAGTCAAGCCGTTAGAAGTCAAACTTGTAGAAAAAGGAAGATTTTTGTTATAGCTGATCTAGTTCTGTTTAGTGTCCTTACAGAGAATATTGCCAGTTTAAATTCCGTATCTCAGGGTAGATTGAGTTTTTCAACCTGGAAGGCCAAAAAAATTACCTGTAACTCAACGTCTACCTTGTCCACTTTACCTTAACCTCGAGCAGAACTTTCACAACACACCGTGAACCTTTGTCTGGCAGACCCCAACCGAGCAAGGCTGTCTTAGTGTCCCTGGTGGAACCTGCTTACAAAGTACACATCACCTTTGGTTTATACGGTTTCTCTAGTTGGAAGCAGAGCGGAAGGAAACACTCGCGTGTCATCGCGGTCGTTCTTCATGGTAACAGATGGAAGGAGTGATGAGCAATACTACTATGTCTCGGTACGATATGTCAGGACAAAAATCAAACTGCTTCTAGCTGCGTCTTAAAGACACGACAACTGGAAACACGATTTCACCCGCTGCTATCAGTGAAGGCCTTCAGCTCAGTAGAGATCAGTGAAACCGCACCTTCGCTCCAACCAGAACAGTGGCTGACCTACTGCCCTCAAGTGCTCTCATCGATAACCGTTACGTGGTATGTGAACCCCACTGCGTTCAACTTTTGCCTTCCAGAGACCAAGGGAGCGGGACCTCTCGGGGCCTGGAACGCAGAAGTCGGGCTCGTTCCCTGAATGAGCCTCCTGGATTACAGCACCATGCAGTGGAGCCAGACAAATGCTTCGATTGCACGTTCCCATTTTTAAACAGGAAAAACTAAAACAATACAAAGAGTGCGTGCTGGATTTCTGTGGTAATTTCCAGGCGAAACCTGGTTGCTCATCACAATACTGAACATATTTTCTAGTTCTCAGATATCAGGGCCTCACTTCTACCCAAAGAGTTCTCCATTTGTTTACTAACAAATAAGTTATTATTACAAGTCATAGTTCATCCTTCTCCATCATTTCAAATGCTTCTATATCTTCATTCCAGTCTGCTAATATGGATTCCATAGGTTGGACTTTATTATCCCAGTTAACTTTGGAATTTGACTCGGTCTCGGTCTTTTGTTCCTGAGGCTGGTTATCACTCTGTGTACATGCCGGCTCTGGAGCACTAGCCTCATCGGTTTCAGGGACGTAGGAATCCTGATTTAAATTGGAAACGGTGTCACTGTCTGCGTGAGCAGGAGATAAAGAATCAGGGTCAGCAACATCAGAGTTTTCTCCTTCTTCAGGCTCCTCACTGACCGCACCACCATCCTGAGATGCTGAAGTAGCTTCTTCAGAATTCTGTTTATGTGAATCGTTTTCAGATAACTTCTGGTCCATATTCTCCAAGTCTTTGAGAGGGGAGAGAAAAAGAAATGTTTTGGAAAAAATAATAAAATGCTGCCTTTCTATGTTTTTCAAAAGCAAGGTCAATTCCCTTGGCCTCATTTCCTCAAAGAAGCGCTGACTTCCCATTGATAGGAAAATTTAGTGTTATTAAGGAACGTATTTTACAGAGGCACTTAAACACATTTTAAATACAGTGAGACTAGTTTTGGTTCCTCAAACTTGAATGGCAACTTCTGGGTCAGTGCTAATTACCATCCTTCAGTCTTAAGCAAATACCCACTCCGTGCACTGAACTTGAACACCAGATTTTAAAGCGCTCCCAGATCAACCAGGATCCCACATCTAAGCAAGTGCGAGTCGGACAGAGTTTATTAAGTTTACTGAACTGTGAATTAAAGAGAGCGCCAAAGCCTCCCTCATCACATCCCCACTCAAAGCAACTAACATACGTATCAAGCTGTCTAATTTAACCATGAAGATTTCTTTGGAGTTTGATGTTTACAGCTAGTATACAGGACACTAATATTTCAAGACTTCTAGGGAGTTTAACTGCATACGCCGTTTTTAACGTGGGATACTTACTGCTATCAATAATGTAGTTTGGAATCATTTTACCTTTAAAGATTGTTGCTGGGATTCCAAACGGAAGCACGAGGAGGGGGAAGAAGCAGATACGGATTACAAATTCTCAAATGCAGAGCTATCTTTTGTATTTAGTATTTTGTTAGAGCAGCTTAGCAATAGTTATAAACAGGAGGAATTTGTGAGCAGCTATGAAGAAACAATGCTGTAGCTTTTGGCATATCACCTTTGCAAGTGCGCAGAGAACAAAACGCTGTCACTGGTTTACTAGAGATACTTGTTCTTACACTGCCTGGACAAAGCAGCGCGACGAGGAAAGCTTACAAAAGGAAAACCTAGAATTTTCTGCCATACGCAAACATTTTAATTGGGAATGTATTAGCTTGCAATTTTCTTGTATTATACAAGAAAAACTGCAAAACATCTGAGGTCAGCAGCCTTATTTCTCATGATAACCATTTCGCCTTAGATAGGCAAAATAGTTTTAACGGTTGTCTCTTTCCTTTTGGGTACCAAGAACATCACCAGGGAGCTTCAGAAGAGAGAGGCATTTACAATGTAGGGCACTGAAAACACTTACGCTATTCCTGCCACCACTTCAAAGCAGATTATGACAAAAAGGGTTCAAAAGGAATCCAAAAGGCTGTATTTTCTCATTAGTCAAACTGACATTTAACTTATGAACAGCACTTTTGGATGTTAACATTAACTTGGGGGAGCAGATAACGACACATCTCAGATAATGGCTTTCTTACGGAAAAACTAATACCAATGTCAAGCAGAAAACTAGAGTTACCAAATAAATAACGTGTTTGCACCTTTGGGTAGCAATAGAAATTATTATTGTACGTTTCACACTGTGCCACAGCGCAGCGTGAAGCTAAATTTGTCCAAGCAACCTCTAATCTTACCTCTGTCTTTAGCTTTATCAGAAAGGAGCACCTCCACGGCCTCATACTCCCGGATTGCATCCAGTATAATGTTTCCTTCCTTGTTGAAGAGGAAGAGCATGGGAATCGTGATATCATCTGTATTCTTTCCATCACCGGCCATTTGGAAGAGAGGAGCTGTGTCACTACTGCTTCCCTCATTGTCATCTAGCCAGATGCACACAAAAGGAAAAGCAAGCAAACCTCCTGTTAGGTAAACAGACTACAACTCTGAACTTCAGACTTTTTCAGCAGCTTTCTACTGCCCAATCAGTTAAGAGAAACAGTAAGTCGGTTGTAAAAAAGCAAAAAGCCAACTTGTGCACTTGTTTTCCTTAACATTTTTGATTTGTATCTCACGTCTTCCTCAGTCCTAAGTAGACAGCACTATTGCAACGCTCGGCGATCCTTAAAGTAACAACTTTTAATCTGCAGAAACAGTGACAATCAGCCATCCCAATTTGTTTGGCTGCACTTTCTGTGCCAACCCAGACAAACCCAAAACATTTCTTCATCTTCTGAAAGCGCAATTTCTGTGTTGGACTGCTGTAATCTCAGAGTTTAACAGCTTCTCGTCAGCTCTCCAGTATCTTCACATCTGTAAAGTACTGGTCACATCTACACAAACTTAAGATTTTAAGAACATAAAATCTTATTTACCAATAACAATGCCTCCTATTGCTCCAGCTTTTTGAATGTTTCGTGCCTTTTCAGCAAACATACACTGGCCTCTCTGCATCAGAGCAATTTTCTCTTTCACTGCCTCAGGATTAGTGATCTCTGAGCATCCATTATATGGCTTAATGGTTGCAACGAATCCTCTTGTCTGTTTGGCAAAACAAAAAGAGAATTAGAGCGCTAGGTTCGAACTTGCAAAAGATTCCTAAGCATTTTTGTTTCTTCAATTAATCTAGTGCATTTAGTGCTGTCTTCCGTCAGTGCAGGCAATCTCTATGCTGAAGGTCGAAGAAACAAAGAATGACCGAACGATAACCTAATTCTCATGTTCAGCGTACTTTGTCTATACCTGTGAACTGCTCTCTCTGGAAAGTTTTCTTCTGTGACCTGCTAATCTGGAACTCCTCTTTTGGGCTGCATCTCATCCACCTGAAGTCATCGGGTTTTCCTACTGCTTCCAGTAGGGACCATTGCCTCTGTGATATTTCCTTCTTCCATCTAGATACAGCCTTTTATAAAAGCTTGTGTAAAGAACAGTCTAACTCTAAAAGGGCTTCTGCAAATTCATGACTAACATGGTAGGAAAACCTTCCCTTAAATTAATGTCTCAAGATATGCACTGCAGTTTATATCAATTTGTTTCAAAAATCATCCTATATATGGATTTTATCATGACTGATGACTCAGGAGCAGAGCATGGGCCACAGACCGATAAGCCACTCATCTAAAAAACTGTCACTGCTGTTCTGTTATTGCTGCGCCCTGTCATTCTAATCACTGTAATTAATTGATCACCCTCTGGCTGGCCACCCTGAAATAGTACCTGTACTGTAAAATTTAGGCTTGTGCAATAAGAAAAGTAACAGAAAGCTAGAGACGGATCACATCTACCTCTCACATACCCCTGCTTTGTGTTTGGATAAGTCCATCCCGAATTGTGCTGGTCCAGCAGTCAAGACCACCCTGCCAAAGAATGGATGGGAAACGATTTGAACAGCACGAGGAGGCAGCTGTTGCTCTTTCTGTTGCTGACTGGAGAGTTCAATCATTTCCTGCATGAACCGTAAGCCATCTTCAGCATCAAGTGAACTTGCTGCCTGAGTAGTAAAGAAACGATAAACAGTTTCTTCTTAGATGTTTGAGAAATTTGGGAAAAAAAAAATTGAAGTTATGTTTGCTCGGACCACTGCTAAAAAGATTTTAAAATACAGAGGGGATGCTCACTGGCACTCACTCAGCATTTCAGATGAGGGAGTTAACTTTTTAGCACCTCCACAACATAGAAGACTAAAACCATACAAATGTATAGACCTCCTAAACAAATGGAAGTATCTCCCACTGAAAGCTATTATTTTCAGATGAGATGCTGTTAGCTACATCACTTTGACATGAACAGCCTCCACCTAATTTAATGGAAGATTAGTTAAAAGTGTTGCTCAGGCAAAATATTAACAAGCATCAGCCTGCTAAATATAGTTGCATATCCAGCTCATATGCCTCTTTCTACAGCCTGGCTGTCCTTCCTGAACCTCTAAAGTGTCAAATATCATTGCTAGTAGGATATTTTTGAAAGTTTTAAAAAAAAAAAAAACTTCTGTCAGGTCTTACTTGCACTGCGTGCTGTACTAATTGTACTCTTCCATCTTTCAGATGAATCAAACTGACTCCCATCTTCTTCAGTATCTCCAAGTGTTCGGGATTACTGGCCATGAAATCTCTGGCTCTTAATGGTGGTTTTGGTCCACTTCCCAAACTCTCTTCTCTGCCAAAAGATTTGAGAGATCAAAACGTTAAAAACCAGATTATTCTTGAAACATAACTCTCACGTTATTCCTACCACCACAGGATTATAGTTCTTTGGAATAATGTTGAGTACAAGTGTCACGAGAATGCAACTCCTCAGTCAAATGATCTTTTTCAAAAGTTGTTGATATTATCAATAATTTTGTAGTGCACAAAAGCACAGGCAATATTGATAACAAAACTACCATATGCTAGCTCTCATTTCTACATAGTCTGCATTGTTGTGAGACTGACTAAACCCAATCTTCCTCGTAGAGTTGCTACTCAGTTTTACTCATGAAGTACAAATACCAAAGAGGTGGTCAGAAGGACAAACTTCCTCAGCTTTAACAGACTGTCCTAAACTCTTCAAAACAGGTGAAGTTATGTATGGTAGTACGATTTGCTTACTGCAAAGCAGAGTTGCAGAACTGTTTGAAACTACAGAAACTAATTTTACAAAATCAAGGAGATGTATTTCCTGTAATACCTGGGCTACAATTCCCACTTGGACTGTGTGGCTCATTAAGCTCCTTTTGCTTTGAAAGG